TCTCGTTTCTCGTTTTATGCATGATCCTTCACCGTCTCTATGGAAGACGGCAAAATCTGTGCTCCGGTATTTGAAAGGCACAAAGAAACTGGGAATCGTTTACTCAAAAGGTCTTATCAATGACAATGAAGACATGGTCTCTGTCTTCAGTGACTCAGACTGGGCCCAGGAGAAACCCTCCCGGAAATCAATCAGTGGCTATGTGTTCATGTTTGCTGGAGGTGCTGTGAGTTGGCGCAGCAAACAGCAAACTTCAGTTGCGCAATGCTCCTTGGAAGCTGAATACATCGCCTTGGCATTTGCCATCTGAGAGGCCTTATGGTTTCGAAACTTCGGTACCATTGTAAACCCAATCACGGATGGGACCGCTCTTGCTATCAAAGCGGACAATCAAGGATGCATAAGTGTGGCACAGAACGGCATCGTGAACGAAAGGACTAAGCATATCGATGTGAAGTACCAGATGATCGTTGACAATGTGGCCAAAGGCAACATTCGTATATCATACATTCCAACTACTGAAATGATAGCCGACATCATGACGAAAGCATTGGCAGTCAAACCGTTCGAGTATCTCAAACAAAAACTCGGTATGACGCCTTGATCTCCATTCCCTCAAGGGGGAGTGTTACCGTATTCGGAAATGAAGTACCTTAGGCTATACTAGAAAGGGAGACAGCTGACTCCACTTGAGTCAAGCTGAGTCCCCTTTCATCCATCTAAGTCAAGCACCCTCTTATGGTAGTTTAAGTGGTTTAATATGTCTATATAACACGTACTCTGACCTATTGCAGTAAAGTTAGAACAGTATCAAATCTCCACGGTCAACCTTGCTCTGCATTCTCTGTAATACCATGCCTAACATCGGTTGATCCTTTGCGCAGTAAGTAAGTAAAATGTATTGCAAGAACATACAACGTGGAATTGATGGCAAGGAACGAACTGCCATGATAGCCAATTTTGTTTGTGCAATGCAACCACAGTTTTGAAAGGGGTTAACGACCTGTCCAGAGACGACGTCATCGTTTTTAGGTACGCCGTCATGTGTGTCCAAATAAAAGCATTGGACAGCGTCTATTAGCTTTGCTCCCTACACATCGTTGTCTGGATAGCATGATGTGGATGTGAAATTGCGTAATGCTCATTCCCTCCTCTTTCGAAACAATATATAAAGGAGTTTTACCCGTTTCATGGCGCGGAAAAAACCCCGGTAACCTTGATCAGCGTTCCTTAGAGGGAAATATCGGCACGGGAAATGTTTTACTTGTTTCAAGGCAGTTCAGACAGCAAGTAGAATATTGCCAAATGGTGACCGGGGGTAAAAAAATGCGCAGAGGGTTCCACAAGTGTCTATCGAACCGGACCGTTTTAATCGTCATATGAAGACAGAAGTTATTGTATTTTTCTAGACCAAACATGCGATTTCACACCACGGGTAAAGCACTTTCTTGTCGATTCCAGTGAAAACAAACTCGTTGTTGCATACAAATGTGTTCAAAAGAAAAGCCAGCTTACAAAAAGCATTTTTCTTTACGCTAATTTTATACTAGTAGCATAGAAACATTTCTTTACGGGCTTTCCATTCGTTTCTAACTTCAGAAAATTTAAAACCAGTGAATCTACTACAGAAAAATTGAAGCCGTGGCCAAAGTTGCCTTCAAAGTTGAGAAGAAATCAAATTCGCGGATATCTATGTATGCTATTGCTTCTTCAGAGAAGCATCGAAAGATCTCTATCTGCAGTACATACTTTGAAAAGACGTTAATACACAGCAAACAATCTCAGTATTGAAAGCAATAATGCTCCTGAGCCGTGTGCAGTACATCGTACATGTCGCGGACTAGAGAAATATGCGGCGGCGACACCGGGTCGTATTGGACACCGATACGTATTTACGAGGAGGTTGATTTCCGCCAAGGTTTCGTACGGCACTACTGTATCAGTACTGCGCGAAAACATCACAATTACTTGTCTGCCAATCACTTAGTGATTGATCAACTTGGACCTTTTAGTTTCGTCAACTCATGGATTCTGTGGTAAAAGGGAGTGCCCCCGGCCAGGAGACAGTGTTTGCGTCTCCGGATTCTCGTGGAATAAAATCCAACAAATTCTATACTGTATATACGGTATTCACAGAAAACCACAGATAAATACGTAAGTAGCTGAGGACGTTACAGGCAAGGACCTGCTATCAAACCGAATATTTATCTAATCGTAACGGGCATTCTTTAGCGAGAAGCAGAATTGACGCGAAAGGTAACATTCTACAGGGAAGCACCTTCTGTTTCCAGAGCCCATTGTTATTGCTTCCCGCTGGGCAGATCAATGTTCAAGAAGACGGAAGTTTGTAGGAGAAGGCGAGCAACTAGAAATTTGGGTACTGTACTTTTTCGTATTATCTAGTTTTCCTTTCAGAGTAGTGCTCGTGGTTTGGCCTTCTCTTGTCGTGGACATGTGACGCTGAATCTGAGTGCGCTTTCTATACGACGTTGGGCATAATTTGCATGAAAAAATATATCCTCCATCGTGTTCATTTTCCATGTGAGCCCTGAGAGTACTTCTCTTCGAGAAAGACTCTTGGCAATGCTTGCAAGAAAACTCTGCTCTATTCGAATGCATTTCTCGATTGTGACTTTCCAACCTTCTAGAACTAGCAAATCTATGACCACAGGTCTGGCATTTGTGCTCCTGGCCCAGCTGATGTTCACGCCGCTCATGTCTTTCCAGTCCTCCACTCGTTACGAAGCCCGCGTTGCAATGGGAACACCGTTTCTTATTACTGTGGACGTTACGAACGTGGGTCACGAGAGCTCGACGCCCATTGTATGACTTGTGGCAAGTATCGCATTTGAAAAGCTCTTGAGTATCAGATTGGGCTCCTGGTGGGAGCGTGCTTCCACGTCTAGTGCCACGACTGGAATGAGATATGCTCGGCAGGCTTTGGAAGGAGGATAAGCCATTGAATATAGAACCCGACGCCTCGCTTGCGTTTCGGCCTGATCCCTTTTGTGCACAATTAATCTCTGTACGGCAATGCTCCCGGAGTTTTTCCCTGGTTGTAAAGATTCTGCGGCACCTCGAGCAGTCAAAACTGGAGGGTCCAGCCCCTCTACTACTACTGTTTCTGGATGCAGACAGAGTCTGCTGTTGTTGCCTTTGACCCTGTCTCTCACGCCTAGCTAGCTTCTAGAAAAGCTCGTTTTGCGGACCTCAAGTGCGATAAGGCATTGTTCACATCGCACTCCACACCCGGACTCTCCAAAGACCCAAACAACCTTGCTAGCACTAGAGCACTCGGTACGGCCCGCCTCTCCGTAATTTCACACTCGCCTTCTGCCACACAATCATCAATCATAGCATCACTGGCAGACTGATTCTATAGCTCTCCACCATAATGTATTGAATCGCAAGCATCACTAATAGAAGCTTCTGCCACAAGCTCATTAGTCTCGATCTCAATCCATTCCTCCACATCTCAGGGTGCAAAGTGTTTGTTCCGAGCGTTGTAGCGGTGTTGGTCACAATTTGTTGGAGTGAAGGAAGAGAGCGTTTGATGTTTCGGATGGTTCGCTCTGAAATTTTGAACTGACGCATAACTGTGGTATTCGCATTCCCGACCTGCAGCAGATGCCCAACCTCGATTTTCTGTGCAATCGTAAGGCGCGTACGCTTCGCTTTGGCGATCTTTTCAGGAATCATGATAGGGTCTTTGAGAGTGAGGTGCCATCACCAATTGAGCTGAGGCGCATGAGGAGTGGGCGATGACGACGTCGTGCATGACACGTGGCAAAACTTGTGTCTGTCGGTTTTTGCGGCACTAATTCGAGGGTAGCAATAATGAAAGCAGCACTATTGCGCGTTCCGCCCCCCCCCCCCCCCCCCCCCCCCTCTGTTTCTGGAAGGTACCTTCGAAGGCACTGTGCCAAGGGGTACAATATGCAGTAAAATTTACCGGATTCGAAGAAAGAAAGGGTACAGTAACCGTTACCATTTAGTGTCATTTAGTGTCATTTAATGGTACACTGTACAGTATCCTTTTTTCTTCGATACCGATTGATTCTGTTGGTGTGGGCAGCATAATCAAAATAATCCAAATCAATAATCCAAATCAAAATCCCAAATCGGCCGCGCGTGCGGCAAGCAGTCCCTGTGCTGTGTATCTCATATCGAAATGGATTAACTCTATTAATTTAATAATGCGCGATATTGCGTCTTGATTATTAAGAACAATTCCAAGAATAAGAAAAAAGAATGCCTGTCCGTCACCCCTTGGGAACGTAATGTGTGCCACGTGTGCACGTGTATGGGCATGATCCCAGAGCGGATACGCCCGAGGATGCGCCCGAGGCATCGAGCCAAACCGGGATCGCGCGGGAAACATTCGCACGAGACAAGCGGCGATGTCTCGCGCGACGCCGCGCTTACCCTTCCGTACCGCATGCGGGCCCCAGCTCCGAGCGCCTCTCGAGCTTCTGCGGGGCGGCGGTAAGTCGGCGGGAACCACGGCAAGCATGCTCCGGTGTGCCACGATACCCCGTCTGCCCCGCCCGTGCGCGTACGCGCCCCGGCCCCATTTGCCGCCCAATCATGTCCGGGCGCTTGCCCGGCCGCTGTCTGTCACATGGCAGAACCTGTCACATGGCTGAAGACGCGCCGTCGCGCGTCAAACGCGCAGCAGCGCTCTCTCGCCGCCATGCCGCCCGCACCGCGCACCACGCTCTCCACTGCGCTGCGAGGACTACCGTTGGCATGGGAATCCACCGCCTCTGTTACTCTCTGCGCTGCGAGGACTACCGTTGACATGGGAATCCACACCTCTTTTACTCTCTCTTCTCGTATGTTTCTGCTCGCCTGCCAGCCGACGGCGCCATCTATCGCAGGGGGGCGGGACACCACCCCTGTAGACCTTGTCCTCTTCTCCCACCGCCGCCGCCCTTCACTATACAAATAGCCTCTCTATCGCCGCCGCTCTCCCTATACACAATAAAAATACCCCCGCCTCACCACATCTTCCTGCCCAGCATCAGCTCCAGCTTGACGTTCGCCGCCGCGTAGAACCTGTCCACCATCTCCCTCGTCTGCGGCAGCACCTCGAGCATGTACCGGTCCGCGCCCGAGTACGTCTCGAACCCGAGCTTGTCGAGCCCCTGCTCCGCCGCCCGCTCCCCGTAGCTCTTCGACCCGCCCTTGTCCCGGTACATCTTCAGTAGCCGCTCGTCCCACTCCCGGATGCACAGGAACCGCGCCAGCCCCTGCAGCGCCTCCCCGCGCCCCATCGCCACGTCGTCGAACGACACAAAGTGCATCCGGTGGTCCGGGAAGTGCCGCCGCCACGTCTCGATGTGCACGTGGTACAACCCGCGCGTCACGTACAGCAGGTCGTCAAACGAGTGCTTCTCCGGCATCATGCACCTCAGCATGTCCGTTGTCGACCTATCCAGCCTCGCCGTCTCCGCGTCGTACCCGCACTCGCCCAGCCGCCCCATCTCCTTGCGCAGGATCTCGTGGAACCTCTCCGGCGTCGCCGCCACCGCCGCCAGCCCCTGCCGCCGCCGCCCCGCGTTGAACACCCGCGTCATCATGTTGTACTGGCTGCGCGCCCGCCGCAGCGGCTCGCGCACCGTCAGCACCACCTTGGCGTGCGGCGTCAACGCGTGCGCGAGGAACGCCACCCGCGCCGACAGCATGTACTCCACCGTCCCGTCGTACACCAGCGTCCGGTTGTGCGCCGCCGCCCCGTCCACGAGCGGGATCGCCTCCTCCGCCCGCACGGACGCGTTGCGCCCGGGGAAGCCGGACAGGTAGTGCGCGAGGCGCAGCGCGCCCAGATCGGGCCCCGTGTACGGCATGTGCAGCGCCGTCGGGTACGGCGTGTGCGCCGGGTCCAGCAGCCGCTCCAGATAATGCCACTCCTTGGCCATGTCGCGCGGCAGCACGGACAGGTGCGAGAGACGCATCGCCAGCTCAGATGTCGCGCCCTTCTGCACCCCGATGATGTACGCGTCGAGGTAGGCGCGCGTCTGGCGCTGCTGCGAGAGCCACTGCGCGCACGTCTCTGGGTGCGGCGCGAGGGCCGTCGGCGGGAGCGCCGGCCGCGGCGGCGGCGGCGGGTGCAGGCGCGAGAGCAGCGGGATGACGAGCAGGCCGAGGAGAAAAGTTACCAGCGGGAGCGGCGGCACGGACTTGCGCTTGATGTGGTTCATGGCGTGTGGGGGGAAAGGGAAAGGGAAGTGCATGACGCGCGGCGTGGTGGGCGCGCGTTTGTAGATAGGCATGCGAAGCTGAGGGGGGGGGGGGGGGGGGGGGAGGGTGACTTGATAGAGGAGGATGGATGGAGCTGTCGGAAGGATGCGGGGCGGACGGAGTTGGGCGGAGAGGGACTGTATGTAAGGATGGAGAGATGTAGCTGTATGTGTATGGGAGGTTTTGAGAGGGACTGCGGCAGATGTCATCTGTCACAAGCGCGCCGAAGAAATCTGAAAATTTTTCATTTAATGTAAAGCCACACACACACGTGTCGTGAGAGCGTGCTGACAGTGGCAGTGGCTGCCCGTTCCCACTTTGCCCACTTCTCATCCCCGCGTCCCCCATCTTTCTGCAAGGTTGGGTGACTTGGTGGATATGCTTAACGTGCCTTTCGCCACAGAGAGTGGCCGCTTCTCACTCCTTCTCAATCCTGCCATTCTCCCAAAGTGGCGACAGTTTTTGGAACAAACCAACCCTGATCTCCTTTACACGGAGCTTTCCTTCTTTTTATAGCAATAATACAACTGTTTCATTATGTTTCTCTCGAGCACTTTTCTACGACTTTATGAACATTCGACGCTATAAGGTGGCGCAGTACTGTGCATCTGATAGTTTCCCAAGTCTGCGGAAAATTTCTCAACCCATTATCGTTGTACATAATTCGTACAGGCTTACAACTTATGATCGTAAACATAAACCATTGTGCACACTCTCTCTCTCTACGAGTGAGGGACACCGACAATCGCAGCCGGCTTCGAACAATTTTAAAGGGTCCTCTACAATCCTCCTCTGGTACACCGACTTATCGATCCTTGTACCACGCCAAATATGTTGTGTAATTGTGGCAATTGCCGATAACAGCTCTACACCTTCACTCTTCCTCTATGGTTCTACGAGAGGATCACGTAATACGTTAGCACTGTTCTGTAGTGACACCATAGCTAGATTGGATTCGGTGTTATCGGACCCGTAGTCAATGGCCCTATCCAACAAGCTACTATATTGATTTCCTCAATTTAGCAGAATTGAAGTCGACTACCGCACATGATTATAGCCTGCACTCGGTCTTGAGTGTCATGTTCTGTGCGGTGCTCTCTCAGTTTATTGATAGTGGTCAGTTCTTAAATGCTAGAGCAAAAGGGCCACGTAATGGCGGACTCATCCGGAGTCCCGGGTGAGGATTCTAAAAAGGGAAATACACTAGAAACGGTAACAACTCGAAAAGGGAACATCCAAATGCGGATTATATCCGCTATGCCGCTGTGCTCGCCCCTGGCCATTGGTCGGAAAGCTCGGTACTTCGTGCTACACTTCCCTCCTTCTAGTGCGAGTCAACGAGCGTCGCGCACGTTCTGCTTTTGTCTGACTAGGAAATGCATCAAGAAAACGCGAGAGCATGTCCGGTATGTCCTCGTTCATAACTGCAAGGGGTTCCCAGGTTGGGTCTTCCTCATCAAATCCTCTCCACTTTGCCTGCACTTCGTACAGCTTGGAGCTCGGCTGATATCGTAGATCCAGTAATTTGGTGACTACGTTGTAGTGGGGATCATTGTGTTGGATGGTACCCAAGAGTTCCTGCGTGACATTGAGCTGGGAGTCCATATATAATTTCAACTGGTTGGCGTGGACAAGCGCGCAGCGTTCACTCAGCAGGTCCTGACATTCGAATACCAAACCAGACTCGGCTCGGATGACACGCCGTGGTCCTCTCCACTGTACTTGTAGTTTGTGTCCGTCTTTTCTAACACGTTTCGCCACCAAAACATAATCTCCGACTGAGAAGTTGACTGGCTGGACGTGAGTCTTGGCATTGTGTCTTTGGACTGCGGCCTCTCTAGTTGCACTACGTCGCCAGCTCACCTTCTTGTGCATGTCTTGTAGTGAATGTAGTAAATTGTCCACGTGCATCTTACGCAGGGTTCTGATCTCATCCAGCGCCTTGGGGACCGACGTGGAGGGTGGGACGATTAAACGTAAAGGATTTTCAGCCGGAAGCCCAGTTAACAGCGCACTGTATTATCGAATCACCTTGTAATTTTGCGGTTACTTTTAGGCAGGTCACACCTGTGCGCGCGAGGTCACCCACGCGACGCGACGACGGCGAGTGGGATTTGTACTTTACGGTCCACGCCACCTGCCTTCTACCGCGCTGACCCCTCGGCAGTCAATCCCTTCTTTCGAAGCGATCTTCACCGTGCACCAGAGCGCACCAGAGCGCGGCGGCTGACACAATTTCCCAGTGGGTACCGCCCTAACGGATGAGCGAGCCATCTGCAGGCCCGCCAGGAGAGAGCAACCCTTCTGCCGACCCTCCGACCTTCGCTTTTGATGCCTCTACCCGCGCCGCGCTTCAAGATCTCATCGGACAAAGCGTCGCCTCCGCGCTCACCGCGCAGCAAGAGACGACCGCCCAGCGCCCGGCAGGAGACGGACAAGGAGGTGGACTGGGACTCAACCCCACCACCGGCCAGGCGGCAGAGGGTGCGGTCCCCAATCCGCCTCAGAAAGCGCCTGACGACGGCAACCAAGATCCCGCTGCCGCCGACAAAGACGGCCAAGGCAGCAGGGAAGAGGAGCAGTACTCCGAGGACGCCGAGTCTGACGGGGACTCCGAAGAAGACGACGACAACTTCGGGGGAAGAACCCAGCCGTCCTTCTTCTCGAAACGCTGGCACGAACGCCACCGCAGCGCTGAGATCGCCCCGCGTTTCGAAGTCCCCGCCCGCTTCCGAGCGATCTAATCCGTCGGCTTCCAGCCCGACTCTGTCGAGCACTTCAGACATTTCGGACCCGGGAGCGGGGCGTCAGTCAGGAAAGCGAGTGAGGCAGCCAACCTCTACTCTACTCCGGCATATACGTGCATTGTCAACAATTCGCTCACGGAGGCCATCGGAGTCCTCGCCGCTCAGCCGACCGTATCTGACGACCTCGAGGGACCGCTCGTTGGCGTACTTGGCACGATCTCGGACGCTCAGGTCGCCATCCACGGCGTCTACGAGCTCGTTCCAGCACGGTACGAGGTCCTCTGCGGGCGCCAAGGAGCAGCAGGTATCGCTGATCCGGACCTCCTTGAGACCTATATCGACCCGCCTGCCGCCTACAGCTCCATCGGCAGTGTGGCGTATAGGCAGCAACAGTTTCAGGCTGTGCGCTCCGCTGCGCAACGTGCCGGTAAGAAGGCTGTACCCAGGGTCACCCCCGACCGCCAAAGCAAGACCCACCGGGGCGGTGGTGGGGGCGGTGGCGCGCCGTCCAACCCCAATCTCGTCATCCCCCAAGCCGTCGCCGGCAGGGGAGGCGGAGGAAGAGGAAGGGGAAGAGGCAGGGGCGCGGTCGGGGCTAGGCCTCGCCATGGCTCTGCCTCCCGTCCTGCAGTTCCAGCAAGTGGGGGCGTCCCACGCGGCCTGGACGGAGATCGGGGCGACGCCATGGCTAGTTCGCCAGCTCCGTTACGGGCTGAAGCTGCCATGGAAGTCGCCCCGAGGTTCCAGCGGTCCAACGGTTACAAGCTGGAGCCAAAACACCAACTCTTTGCCATCGAGGAGGCGCAGCGGTGGTTGGAGCTGGGCTACTGTCGCCGCGCTACCGCCCAGAAGCGCAAGAAGGTGCTTCGGCTCGGCAACGTGTCGCCGGGCTTTGTCACGAGCAGCGCCGGGAAGCTGTGGCTGGTCATCGACTACTCGGCGGTGAACGAATGCCTCGAGGAGCGGACCTTTCGCATGGACCAGCTCGGGGACCTGGCCGCATTTTTTGGCCCGGGCGACGCGCTCTTCAAGGCAGATATCTCCGACGCGTACTACCATCTGCGCATCAGGAGCTGCGACCGCGAACGCCTCGCATTTCAGGTGGAGAGCGTTGTCTACCTACCGCTCTGCCTGAACTGCGGGCTAGCCGTGGCGCCTTGGTTCTTCACCAAGGCCATGCGGCCCGTGGTGTCGTATTTGCGCGCGAGGCCACCGCGTCTTCGCCTATCTAGACGACTTCTTCGGCGCTGCCCGCAGCTCTTCGTCGCAAGGCTCAACCACGGGCGACACGAAGCGCCTCGGAGAAGAGATCCAGGAGCTCTTCCGGAGACTGGGCCTGCTGCTGCACCCGCGCAAGTGCGACTTCTCCGGAAGCAGGCGCCTGGAGATTCTCGGCATCGTGGTCGACACCGAGAAGGCACTGTTTCTGCTTAGCGCCGGGAAGCTAAGCAAGATCGAGGTTCAAGCCCGCCGGCTGCTACGGTACGCAGTACAGCCCCGCCGGCACGTCCGCGTAACGGATATCCGGCGCTTTTCTGGCCTCGGGAACTCAGTGACGCCCGCCGTGGTCGACGCCCGTCTGCGGCTGCGGGAGCTCTTGGACTCCTTCAAGCCACGTCACGTTATCGATCAGGGGCTGCTCCACGGCAGGGGCAGCACGCGGCTGTCACACGCCGCCATGCGCGACCTGCAGTAGTGGGCACAGCTCAGCGAGAACCGCCACATCGGGCGTGTCCTCTGGCCTACCGTGGACGCTGTCGTCTTTACAGACGCGAGCATGTCAGGCTGGGGCGCCGCGTGGAACGGGCTGGTGCCTGCGTCGGGCTTCTTCGACGCCAAGCACGAGGACGCGCACATCAACGAGCTCGAGCTGCTCGCCGCCCTTTATGCCCTTCGGAGCTTCGTGCGTCACGCCCGGCGACGCGCAGTGGAACTGGTCACCGACTCCAAGGTGACCGAGTTTATCGTTCGCAACATGACCTCGCGCTCGCCCCGCCTCCTTGCTCGCCTCCGAGAGCTCCGCGCGCTCTGCGAGGCCGAGGGCGTCGTCATCTCGACACGCCACATACCGTCGGTCCTCGACACATGGGCCGACAGGCTTTCACGACGACGGGACAGCCACGGGTGGAACCTACCGCCGACAACTGCCCGGCTGCTCGAGCGAAGCCTCGACCGCAAGCTCCACGTGTGCGATGGGCACGAGCTCCCGTCCC